TAAAGATCGTTACTGAGAGCAGAGCAATTTGAGCTCAGCCATGTCTGCCATGGCAAGTGGAGAAGCTTCTAGAACTGAAAGAAGAAAATGGATAAGAAGGAGACCAGGAAAATGATGAAAAGAAGCTCGAGAGCTTTTTCTGATACCTCATAGAGTATATATACACATGTACTTTTACAGCTGGCAACAACTAATTCTAACAATGACACTAACTAGCTCTAACTAACTACTTGAACAATAAATATCTCAATACCCCCCTCAAGCTGGAGGTGGTGAAAACACTGCCAACTTGGCTAAAACACCTGAATGTTTGACACCTGTTAAAGCCTTGGTAAGAATGTCCACAAGTTGTTGATCAATTGCGATGTAATGCAATGAAATAAGGCCCTCTTGCAGCTGTTTCCTCACAAATGGCAGTCAACCTCGATGTGTTTGGTACGCTCGTGGAACATAGGATTTCTAGCTATGTGCAAGGCTGACAAACTATCACAGAATACTTGAATGGGGTGTATAGAGGTAACTCTTGGTTCAACCAAAAGTCTGCTTAGCCAAACCAGTTCACCAACTACCTTTCAAAGTGATTTGTACTCTGCCTCTGCTGAAGATAAGGAAACAACTTCCTACTTCTTGGACTTCCAACTGAGTAGGTTGTTTCCCAACAAAATAATGTACCCACTTACAGATCTTCTTGTGTCTGGATAGGATACCCAATCTGAGTCACAGAAGGCTCTAACAGTCTAATCTTCAGATTTGGACATATGGACTCCTAATGTAGGATCACCCTTGAGATACCTCAACAGATGGTAAGTAGCCTTCAAGTGGGGCTCTCTAGGATTTTGCATGAATTGGCTTAAATGTTGAACCCCAAAAGCTATGTCCAACCTAGTATTAGTAAAAAAATTTAACTTCCCTATTAGTTTCTTGTAAAAGGTTGGATCATCCAAAGGTTTACCCTCCTTGACTTTAAGCTTTTCATTAGGATCAAGTGGGGAGCTGAAAGTAGTATATTCCAAAATATTGTACTCTTTCAATAAGTCCAGAATAAATTTTCTTTGGGAAATGATTACACCATCAGGCTTATACAGTATTTCTAGGCCTAAGAACTAGTGCGAATTACCTAAGTCCTTTATCTTGAACTTGTCATGAAGAAAGGTTTTCAATTGTAGTATTTCCTCTAGATCTGTCCTTGTGACCAAGATGTCATCTACATAAGCTACCACATAAACCACAAAATCTCCATGTTGTTTGTGAAATAATAAATAGTCATTTAATAAGTGACTGAAACCTTTAGAACACAAGGCCTTAGTTAGTTTCTCATACCATTGTTTACTAGCTTGTTTGAGTCCATATAAAGACTTATTTAACTTGCAAACCAGTGATTTATCCTCCACCATAAGGCCTGGTGGAATCTGCATATACACATCTTCATGTAAATCCCCATGGAGAAAAGCATTGTTTACATCCAATTGGAACATTGCCCAATTGTTCTTTATTGTTACTGCAATCAGAGTTCTCACTGTGGTCATCTTCACCACAGGAGAAAATATTTCTATGAAATCTACACCTTCTTGATGAGTATAGCCCTTCACAACTAGCCTGACCTTATACCTATGTTTTATTTTGTAGACCCATCTACAACCTATTGCTTTCTTATCAGATGGAAGGGGTACTAAATTTAAGGTATTATTAGCATAAAGAGCCTCAAATTCTTGAATCATGGCTGCTTGCCAAGCAGAGCTGACAACAGCTTCCTCAAAGGAAGATGGCTCACTAATATTGAAAATCCTGTTTACCAAAGCCTGACTATTATGATTCATTGATTCATGGTCTATGTGGTGATATTTAGAAAACAAGGTACCGAGACAGAAAGAGTGTTTATCAGTGTTGCTGATTTTGTAGATATAATCTTTTATATATATCTGAGTTTTGTGTTTCCTCTGTGATCTTCTCAGGAGTATGGGAGGATGATGTACTAGTGAAGAATCAATGAGCGGAGGTGAATGTAGTGGAGATAGTGCAGAAGCGCTAGGAAGAGAAGTTGGAACTGGAGAAGTAGAAGGTGAATGAGGTGAAAAAGGAGGAGTAAGTACTGGATCATTATGACTAGCAGATTCATTAGAGGGGACAACATCAAAGTATGTAGGAAATGACTCAGATTTGGACTTGAAATGAATTTCAAAAGGAAAAATAAACTCATGAAAGATAACATCTCTGGTGATGTGTATTTTCTTGGTTGATAGGTCTAGGACTTTGTAGCCTTTGACACCAAAAGGATAGCCTAGAAAGACATGTAGGACAGATCTTGGTTCAAATTTGCTTAAGTGGACCTTGGGTGTTGTAGGAAAGCACAGGCAACCAAAGCTTCTCAGTTGTGTGTAATCTGGCTTTTTGCCATATAAGACTTCAAAAGGAGATTTGTTTTGGAGATATGTAGTAGGTAGTCTATTTATAATGTGAGTTATTGTTAGGACACGTTCCCCCAGTACTTCAAAGGCAATTTGGATTGGAAAAGTAAGGCTCTAGCTGTCTCAAAAAGGTATCTATGTTACCTCTCTACCACTCCATTTTGTTGTGGTATATAAGGACAAGTTCTTTGGTGTACAATTTCTTTTGACTGGAAGAAAGTATTGGTTTCTAAGTTGTTAAATTCTAGTCCATTATCAAACCTAATGGACTGGACTTTGGTTTTGAGCTGATTTTCAATTAGGGAAACGAATGCTTTGATTGTCTGTAGAGCATTACTCTTGCAAGCTAGTAGTTGAGTCCAAGTGGTTCTATTGTGATCATCTACTATAGTAATAAAGTATCTGTATTTGTCATGAGTATGTTCATGATATGGTCCCCATAGATCTACATGAAGTAATTCAAAGATTTTGGAAGAAGTACTGACTTTCTGAGGAAAGGGAAATCTTGTCTGTCTGGCCATGGGACAAATTGTACATATGAATGGTTGTTTCATATTTCCAAGACATTTCTCACTTTACCAATCTCCAGAGGCCTCTTCACTGAAGGGGCCTGCAGAAGATAAGTATTGTCAGTGAATGATGTCATCCCTTTGAGATATTTGGTCAACCAATAGACAAACACCGGATTGAACTTAAAAGAGGGAACAAAAAGGACTTTCTGTAATATTATTTTGGATGTAAGAACAACATCACCTATTTCAGATACTTTAACTTTGTATCCATTGGGTAAGACTATTAGAAGGGGATAAGGTAAGAATACGATATTAGACATTAGAGATGTTAAAGGTCATATTGGAGGCCCCTGAATCCAGTATCCATGTGTCAGTTTTGGACTCAAAGCATTTGCATGAAAGTTTACCAAAATCAATGGAAGAAGTGCACACTATCATACCTGCAAAGTTAGAAGCATTGATACTAGGTGAGTATGAGCTTCTTGATGATTTCCCAGCATCTCCATTCCTCCATGAAATGGTTGAAGTAAGCTTACAAGCTGTCCATATTGCTCTTCAGTGAGGTTCACATTTCTGCCATCATCTTGTGCCTTGCTTTCAATTTCCTTGCCATTAGTAGTTTCATCAGTAACTCCTTGCACACTAACTACTCTTTTCCCTCTGTTGTTGTATCTAGGACCTTGACCTTGGTTGTGGTTATTTGAGAATTATCTAGGAGTAAAATTCTGAGTAGAGTTTTGGTTGTTCTGTGGATAACCATGTAGCTTGTAACACTTATCTTTACTATGTCCTGGTCTTTTGCAGTAATCCCATATGAGTCTGCCTCTAGAAATTCCACGATAATTGTTGTCTGTTGGGAAGTTTGTCTTAAAGGAACTCTGTCCTGATGTACTCACATTCAATGAAGTTGAATCAACAGTTAAATGGTTAGTTGGCCTAATCTCCCTTTGTTTTTCATCCTGAACTAGAAGTGAAAAGGCTTGTGCTAAATTTGGTAATAGATTCATCATAAGTATGCTTCCTCGAACTACTGTGTATACTTCATTCAGTCCTATAAGAAATTATATTAGTCTCCTATCTTGTTCAGCCTTATATATACTCTATTTTGCCCCACAATTACAGATACAATTGCATTGATTTCTCTTATTCAAAGTGGCAAGCTCTTCCCAGAGTTTCTTCAACTTAGTGTAATAGGTAGGGGTGACAATTTGAGCCCAAACCAATCTAACCCGCCCAACTCTCCACTGACCTATTAATGGGTTAGGTTACAAATATTTTAGCTCATGGGTCAATTTGGGCTGAGCTCAAGTTAACCCGTTATATTTTATAACCCATTATGACCTATTAAGCAGCCCAACTGCAACCCATAAAACTCACCCAAAAACAAAAGGTATCTCAACCCAACTTATACAGAAATTTATTTAGTTGCCCCAATTTTACTTTTTTTTTTGTATTTTTAATTTTATGTGTTTTTGTTTTTC